AAAAGAGAATAAAATCATAAAAAATAATAATAGTAACAAACTCATGATGAATCAAAAGCCAGAGAATAAAAACGGGTCTTTAGACGACTTTTAAAACTATCCAGTGTTGGGGAGGATCTGATAATCAAAGACAATGTATTCCAAAGTTTGGGGGCAGTCACAGCAAATGCCCGGTCTCCTCTGTGTTTTAATCTGGACCTAGGGATAACCAAAAGCATTTGGTCTGCAGACCTCAAGGATCTTGAGGGAGAATACCAGGTTAGGAGATCAGCAAGATATGTAGGGGCTTTCTTTGCAAGCTCCTTTGACAGCAAGATATGTAGGGGCTAGTCTATGCAACGACTTAAAAACAAGTGTTAAGATCTTAAAGTCAATTCAAAAGCTGACTGGCAGCCAGTGTAGTGATGCAAGTATAGGAGATATATGATCTCGCTTGTGTGTGCATGGATCGCTTTCTCAAAATCTCTGAAACAGAGAAAGGGCTTAACTTTTGTAATTAGGCGAAGATGAAGGAAACTGGTTTTGACTACATTATTTATCTGTTTATGAAATGTTAAATTGCTGTCAAAAATCACCCCTAAATTTCTTGCAAATGGTTTTTTATCACTTTCTTAGGGGCCAAGGTCATAATGGTCAGAAGGACCAAAGACAATGACCTCAGTTTTCTGTTCATTTAGATTTAGAAAATTTAGAGCCATCCATGCCTTGACATCTTCTAGACAATCAAACAGTCCCTTCAGAGGATTCACAGATTTTCATTTTAGTGGAAGGTAAATCTGAGAATCATCTGCGTAACAGTGAAACGAAATTCCATATTTTTTAAAAATAAATCCCAACGGGAGCATATAAATTGAAAAAAGGACCGGACCAAGGATAGAGCCCTGGGGGACCCCGCAAAAAAGGGTCGTCTTTGGAGACAATGTGTCTCTGAATCTAACAGAGAAAGTACGATTAGATAAGTAGGATTTAAACCATTCCAAAGCAAGCCCTTTAATTCCGGCACATTGTTCCAGTCGAGAGATAAGAATCCTGTGATCTACTGTGTCAAAAGCAGCACTGAGGTCTAATAATATTAAAATAACAGAATCTCCCGAGTTGGTAAAAGTTAAAAGGTCATTAGAAACTTTAAAAGAAAATAAATCTGCGTGTGATTTCAAGTGGGTTAAATTCTAGACTATTTGTCTTTATCCAGTGACTTCCTGTTCATGGAGTCTCCAATGACCAGAACCCCTTTGGTAACCAAACCAACTGCTAGCTGTAGCTTCCTTCCTTCCTTTCTTCCTTCACAGACATAGCTGTAGCTTTGTATTTACAAACTTAAGTGTGATATAGGTCACCACTTCCTTTATCAGAAATAGACAGCCTAGAATAAAGTAAAGGGCGAATGACAACACACATTTCCTAAAATATCAAATTAGTCCTTTTGCTGGAGATATTTTTAGTGTCTCTACATTGGGGTTAGCTCTACTTACACTCGGGAAAAGTGAATACTTCTTTTAACACTGCAAAGCTGAACATCGTACATGTTAAACCAGGGCTTTATGTTGGTCAGTCCTGGGGGAAGCAAACTTGAGATGAAGTGTGTCTGCTCTTCAAAACATGTACTGGACAAGTACAATAAGCCTTGACTGATTTATAGCCCAGCAGGAGCTCGTAACTACTACTACCCACCAACTTCTCTTTCTACCAGCGTAGCTGCTCACTGTAAATCAAATCTGCTGCTGGAGATTTTTGGGCACGGGCTCAGCTCTGTGGCACTGCGATCTATATTTAAAAAAACCCTCACCCTGACCTTGTTTCCCAGTATAAAGAAAGTTCCAGACTCCTGGGATGACTGTCATGTTTTTGCTGTGGGCTGTTCCCCAAGTTCCACCTGGACTTGGGGAACCGTGCGGAGTGTCAGAGAGCTGTCAGGCATACCAGAGTGCAGCTGCTTGATTGTCACATTACAACTGACTGCTGAAAAGGATTACTAGCCATTTAAGAAGCAAATCGGGCTCGATCACCAGGCTTATTCACTCAGCGCTAATGATAAAAACCTAAGATGAGCTACCACAGCTACATAGGACAAGTTAAAACGTTTGACTTTACAACATAAATCATGAAAAAGATATTGACTTTGGCATAATAAAGCTGCCTTGCTTCTTCGTGTTCAAATATCACGTTTCTTCTGACATGAAGGCATCAGTGCTTGGGCCAAAGTGTGAACAATAGGAGTGGAAAAGTGTTTGTCGAGTGTCAACTTCAACTCTAAATAGCACTCCTTGCTTGTAGCCTTCCAACTTCTTCATCAGAAATAGACGGCTGAGCAATGAAGTAAAGGGCAAATGACCAAGTTACAGCTTTCAGTCACAAAGCAAAGTGTCCTAACTCTGAACAACAACAACAGCGGCACTGAACATGCATTATATTGTATTTATAGAGAACAATGGTCGTGAAAGCATTGATTAATGATGCTGAGGCTAGTGGCTGATGATCTTTATGTTTTAAAGTTGACACACTTGCACTGATCAGTTTTAAGCTGCTTTCCCCTCTTGTATCTGTGGAAGCATTGTCTGTTAAATTGTCTGTTAAAATGTTTGAGGCCCATATCAAACATGGCCAAGTATGTCCTCCTTCATTTCTTAGCTTTTTGCATATTTGGTACACTTTCATGTTTCAGATACTCAAATAAATTTTAACAATAAGCATAAATACAAAATGCAGCTTTTAAATGAAAATGTCATTTATTAAGGGAAAAGGTTAACCAAACCAACCTGGACCTGTGTGAAACAGTAAGTGCTCCCTAAAACTAATGATTGGTTGTGTGACCACTGGCAGCAGGAACTGCAATTAAGTGTTTGTGATACCTGGCAATGAGTCTTTCACATTACTGTGGAGCAGTTTTGGTTCACTTCTCTTTGCAGAATCGTTTTAGTTCAGCCACACTGGATGGAAACGGCCTGCTTAAGATAATGCCAAAGCATCTCAATCTGATTTAAGTCCAGACTACTCAAAACCTTCATTTTGTTTGTTTTTTTATTTTGGGGGGCAATTCAGACTTGACACTTGGTGGTGTGTTTCTTATCATTGTCTTATTGCATAACTTAAGTGAGCTTGAGCTTCAGGCCATGAACTTATGGCCTGACATTCTCCTTCAGGATTTCTGCTAGACAGCAGAATTTATGGTTCGTCAAGGTCCTGAAGTATGATCCGCTGGTATAATCTGTTTATGAAATGCTGTGTTAGTTTTATGCCAGATGTAATAGGACTCAAACCTTCCAAAAAGTTCAACCTTTGTCTATTCAGTCCACAGAATATTTTCCCAAATGTCATCAAGATGTTTTTTGGCAAATGTGAGGCGAGCTTTTGTGTTCTTTTTGGTCAGCAGTGGTTTTCTCCTTGGAACTCTGTATTGTTGAATCATGACCTTAATCTAACGAGTAAAGTCTTCTGTTCTTTAGATAGTGTTCTGGGTTCTTTTGTGACCTCCTGGATGACTTGTAGATGCATTCTCAGAGTAATTTTCGTGGACGATCACCCCTGGGAAGGTTTATCACTGCTCCAAGGTTTCTCCATTTGTGGATAAAGGCCTTCGTCATGGTTCACTGGAGTCCCAAAGCCTTAGAAATGGCTTTGTAAGCATTTCCAGACTGATAGATGTCAGTGACTTTGTTTCTCATTGTTTTTAAGTTTCTTTCTTTCTTTAAGATCTTTTAGGCTCCTTCATTTTGTGGAAGGTTGTTGACAGGTTCTGTTTGATTGACTTAACAGATCTGCCAAGAATCAGGCCTAAGTGTGGCAAGCTAAAGTGAACACAGCTTTCCAAAAAAAGTATAAAATAATTGTTCTGATCTGAAAGATGTAAGTGTGACAATATGCAAAAAAGAAAATAAAAGAAAAAAGAAGAAATCTGAAAGGGGCAAATACTTTTTCACAGCATTGTAGAAATTGCTTCAGGTTGCTCTATAAAACACACCACTAAGGCAGAGTATACGAAAATAACGATTATGACCGTGACTCGTGCACCGTTACTTCAGTACAGTGTAAGCATGAAGCGTGGTGTTGGAAACAAGAAAAGCATTTTTTAGTTTTGTAATCTCAATGATTTTACTAAAGTTTGTTTTAATACCATTTAGAGGCTGATATATATAAAATAGTTTATACCTTAAAAACATGGCATTTTTTCTACTTTTCTCTATTTTAAAATATTTTTTTTATTCATTAAGGGATAAAAGTAGATTTCCAACATCAAAGAAGATTTTTGTACCAACAAAATAAAATTTACAACATTTGGAATTTATTCATTGTTCAGATTTATATATTGGTTATTGGTTATTATGCACATTGTTGTCTATTTCGATAAAATTTCAGAAACTTGCAGAAGAAATAGTAAATTTTTGTATGTAATGTAAATAATATTGTGGGATTTTATCAAGGTGATATCTGTTCTGTTTATATTCACATATTCACCTGTGGTGTCTCACCTTACTCTAACAGTGACTTTATCAGCAATGGACACAATGAGAAACTGATCTTTAATGTCTTTCTGTTTCTTTTATAGCAGGAGTGAGACCCTAACCATTGACATCCCAGTTACACCTGTTCAAACTCACACTTCTGCTGCTCTACGCTCACACCTGTTCCCCTTCAGCACGCCCGTATTTTGCATGAGGTTCGCATCACAATGAGGGAGAAGGGAATGACATAATGGGATTCCTGTGTCAAAGTCTTCCAGCTCTAGCTTTACAGTATCAGTACCTTTGCACTGCCACCTATTTTGACTTAGCCATGCTTCAAGAGTTTCATCAAAAATGAAAAGATGATGGCTTGACTTGATATGTGACTATAAGAAATTTAAAAGAATATTACACTTTCTAATTGTTTTTACATGGTTAATACTTAGTAGTAAACTAAAACTGTCCATTAGCTGTTGCTGTCACTATTTTTCATTCAAGCATTCTGCAAGTCGGTTGTTTTGCTTTCAGCTCTCATTAGCAGGTCTATAATTCATATGGTGCATTTGGGCTTTGACATTATGTCATATAGCTTATACCCAGTAATTAGTATTCTTGCTTTATAGTGATACATGCACACTGCTTTTTGTGATGAAAGTTATGGTTTTGATTCCATAGAAAGTATACTGTACTCCACAGCTGGATATTGGATGAAAAGCTTGTATATAATTTACTTGTTTTGTAGGTTTTAGTTTCTACTAAGGCACCCATCATAAAGGGTTTCTGACGTATTTAATAAGGCCTTTGCATGTACTTAATATAGATCAGTTAGACGTAATTAACAAGTCTATGGTTGTGAAGCAATAAAGAAATCTCTTTGGCTAATGTTTACAATTTTGATAAAAGTTTGTAATATTTTTTAACAATAATAAGTTGTGCACAAACACTCATAAATAAACCATTAAATGAATGACTTTGATGTTCGCAAAGGATGGCAAAACTATCCGAGTGATTCAGCTCTTCAAGAGAGAAATATATCAACATCTATGTAGGGGTGGGGAACGCCAGGCCTCAAGGGCCGGTGCCCCTGCAGGTTTTAGATCTCACCCTGGGTCAACACACCTGAATCAAATGATTAGTTCATTAACAGGCCTCTGGAGAACTTCAAGACATGTTGATGAGGAATTTAGCCACTTAAATCAGCTGTGTTGAATCAAGGACACATCTAAAACCTTCAGAATACCGGCCCTTGAGGCCTGGATTCCCCAACCCCTGGTCTACTGGATGGATTAATCTATTAGACATTCATGTTCTGTTAGTCATTTTTAAATACCTTGTCATGCAAACTCACTCACTAAAAATGGAAGACGTGATAAATATTTTTACCTGCTGAACATTGTAATTTCTATTCCTATTGTGAGCATGGCATCAGTGTGACTCTTCGGATGTAGTATGAAGAGCACACAGAGAAAACACAGACTATCTGATCACTCACCTCGTGATTAACTTCAAAAGGCAACTGGCTCGTAGTTCATTCACTCGTCATTTAGTCAAATTTACAACTCCAAAATGGATGATGCACGATAATAGTTAGAAAGCCGATAAGCCTTGATAAAGGCGCTCTTATTAAAATTCTAATTAAAAAACACACAAGGATCCACACCTCAAATCATAAGTTAACACTGGCACATCCTGCCAAGGGCTGCTACAGCAGCGTGAAACATTTTCACGAATAACATCCAGCTTTGTTACTGTTATGGCTTCTTTTTTTTTTGCAAAAAAAAGTCTATGAATACTTGTGTATGCAAGTATCTACTGTAACAACAGTTCAGTGAACAAATCTTATTGTATTCAACAAACAGGTTATAGTCTGGCTGCTTTGCTTATCTATTGTGCATTTACATGCCACCTACTTCAGCTTTTTATGCGTTGCAGAAACATTAGAGACCTGCAAGACAATCGCAACATGCACTCTGTTTAAAAAAAGCCTGTAATTAACAGTGAATGTAACCCGATGTTCCTGTCAGCAGTGCACATACGTTCAATTCTGCCTAAATGTATTGTGACACTTTCAGCATTTTTTTTATTGATTGCCTTGTTTGAGTTGTTTACAAATATTGTATGTATGGCTTCAGCAATAAAAAAAAATGGAGGAAAAAAAGTTCTGGTTCTGTTTTAATTTTAACCAATGAAAGGAAATGCTGTCATTTGTAACCATTTGTGAAATTATGGTGTGTTGAAAACACAGTGGAGGGTGACAAGGCAGGAATCTACCTGCAAAACATGTAGCACGTGTGTGTGTGTGTGTGTGTGTGTGTGTGTGTGTGTGTGT